TATTTATTCAAAACTGAATTCAGGGCAAAAAGTATTAAAAGGAACTGAACCATGTACAGCCAGAGGAATGAGAAGTTGTGCTCCATTTGTGTATAATATGTCAAAATGTATTCTACTCTCATGCATAACTAATTGAACAAATTTTAAGAATAAATATAAATGAAAAAATAATACAACAAAAATCAGAAAGCAATAAAAAAATTTCAAAAGCCCAAATAACTGTTTGGRGGCAGGGAAATGCAGCCAGAATGAAGTTCAGGAGAAACTTTATAGGCTTAAATACATTTACATGTTGAGAACTCTTATCCAAAAAATGCTTACCACTGTAACGCTTCAGACTCTGGAGTTTTTTTGGATTTTGGAATATTTGCCTAGACTTTCTAGGTTGAGCCTATCTAATCTGAAAACCGAAAATGCTCCAAATTCTGAAACTTTTGAGCACTGGACAAGAAGCTCGAAAAGCTTGGGATCTTAAAGTATTTCAGATTTTGGATTTTCACATTAGGAATGTTCAACCTGAACCTGAACATTAAAAAATTACTAATAAATATGAGTTTTACAAGATGTTAGAATGATAGAAAAGATCACTTGGACGGCTACACAAGAGAGTAGCCAAACTTAAGAAGACTGACCACCCCAATTGTAAATGACACCTGGGGTGGTCAGTCTTCTCAAGTTTAGCTACTCTTTTATGTAGTGACCAGAGCTTTCAATGCTATTGGTAGAAGCACAAAGTGAGGTACAAGGACTTTAGGAAAAGGTCTAGGAACTTCTTTAAAAATCATGCACATAACCCAATAATTCTATGCCTAGGTAACATTAGAAGAAATGAAAACACATGTCCACAAAAATCTTGTAAGAAAATATCCATAGCAGCTGTATTCAATAGCCAAGACTGTAATGTGCTTAGGTGTTCATCCATGGGAGGTTGGATAAACCCACTGGTAAGTTTACAAGATGGAAACTACTTGGCAATGAACAGCAATCACCCGCTGTCACAGCTACAGTGTAGATGAATCTCAGAAACATGCTAAGTGAAGGAGGCAGGGTGACACAGCTACACAGCTACGGGCTGCAAGATTCACTTCTGTGAAGTTCTAGAATAGGTAAGACTCATCCATGAAAAATAAACAAATCAACAGTATGGTGGGTGCACGGAGAGGGGAGTGATTTGCAAGTCCCATGGCTGAACTTTCTAGCATGCCAATGTTCTGTACTGGGATAGGGGTTTACTGTAGAGGCCTGTAAGCTCTTATTGGTGATATTGAAAACTGTATATTACATTGTATGTAAACTTGAACTAAACAAGTAGAAATGGGAATAGGAAACAAATATAAAACTCCTTAATGATATCCATCCTGAACTGTTTCAGGGTAGGTGTAAAATAATTGCAACACGTTGTGAAATAAATGAGAAATAAGATGGACTGAGGGTCTGGATGGAGGAGTAGGTGGAAAGAGAAGCAAGAAAGCTAGCRGAGTAAAATGTAAATGTTAGGACRTGTTCTGTATAAAATTCCTTCTGTTTTCATATATTTGAAATATCTCATAATACACGGTTAGGAAACTAAGAATGCTTTAAAACATGAAGTGGTTCTTGAGAGGAAAATTCAATTTAGATTTCAGTTTTCACCAGATTTACAGAGTATTCATTATGATTCCAACCAAAACACCATCAGAATATTTCAAGGGGCATTCTTCTAATAAGGCATAATAAGAAAAAGCCATGAATTATTTACAAGTAACAAGAGTTTTAATTTCTTTATGACTAAGAAATAAGATAGGAATAATTATTTAAAATCATTAAAAGACAACATAAAGGGAAAATACCATGAGGTAAGTGAGAAATGGGAGATGTCAGTGCCAAGAACTTCACATTCACAGGCTCAGCCTCAGCCTCAGTAATGGGGGAAGGGAGARCAAAGTAGGCAAGATAACATTATTTCATCCCTCAAAGGAGCAAAAATTAACAAACTTGGAAATCATCTCATGGAAGATAAAGAGAACCATGTTTTCTTATGTCATGCAGGAAAGTAACCTGTGAACAGTTGTTGTCTGTATTGATTATAGTAGTCTCCCCTTATCTGTGAGAAATACATCCAGAGAATAGCTAAACTTATAAAGACTGACCACTCCAAATGCTGGCAAATAAGTGCAGTGATCAGAACTCTCTGACGTTATAGCTGAATGATGCAAGGGCTCTAGGTAAAGGTTAAGGAGTTTATTTTAAAATTATGCACATACATATACTATGTACACATCCTCAGTTGGTACAATAAACTATAGATAGCACCATAAACTATATATTCTGTTTTTTTTTTCATATACATACCTGTGATGAAGTTTATTTATAAATGGACACAGTAAAAGAATAACAACAATAACTAATAATAAAGAAGGACAAACATAACAATCTTCCATTTCATACTATAATAAAATTTATGTGAATGTGGTTTCTTGCTTTGTCTATATTTAAAAACTCACTTAAAAAAGACACACTTCTTTTTGGCACATCCGAATTGCCAATAATACTTCTCTTGTGCCATGGGGCTCTTACTAAGTAAAATGGGGGTGACTTGAACCTATGCACTGTGACACCATGACAGTCAATCTGATAATCAAGATGGCTACTTAAAGTGACCAATGGGTGGGTACAGCGTGGGTGGTGGACAGAGGGGTGATTCATACTCCAGGTGATGGAGCAGGACGGCACGAGATTTCATCATGSTACTCAGAATGACACACGGCTTAACACTTATGAATTATTTACCTGTGGAATCTTCCATTTCRTATTTTCAGACTTTAGCTGACCGAAGGCAATGAAACCTTAGAAAGCAAAGTTGTAGATAAGGACTACCATGTACAAACGTGAACAGTGTGTTTCCCTCTTCAGAATCTGTCCTAGAGAAATTCACCCTCGGGTCTCAAGGCACATGGCCAGGGAAATCACTGCAGCACTGTGGGTGGGCACACTGGAAATGCCCATCACTACCGGAATGATCACATGTTGTATGTACAAGTTCAGAAAGAAGGAAAGAAGTTACCAGGGAAATTTAAAATACATTGACATGGAAAGATATCTAAGAATACCTACTGCTCAATAAATAGATCATTTATGTACTAAAGTCAAAAGAAATGAGCAGATGTACTTCTCCAGGTACATTTACATATGCTATCTCCCACCCCCACCCCCACCCCAAAAAAACCCACCCTGGTCTGGTCCACCCTGAGAAGGGAAGCTTTCACCATACCACAAATGCCCAGATTATTGACATGAATGTGCTGATTTAACTCAGAATTTAAAATGAGAAGGAAATAACATAAAATGGTGTGAAGTATTTTATATAAATATTTAATTATATAAATGTATAATGTAACCTATAAATGAAAATATTTCACATTTATATAATAAATCAGCTTTATAATTCTAAGTGAAATATTTACATATTTGTTACATATTGTTATAATGTATATAAATCATAACAKTTTATATTTTTAATAGTCTGCTATTTTTATTTATTTTTGCAATGCTAGGGATTGAACCCACAGCCTCACATGTGCTAGGCAAATACTGTATACTGAGCTACATCCCTAGTCCCTACTATATATTTATAATATAATAATAAATAAAATATATTCATTGTAAAATATCTAAGTGTAAAGACATAAATTAGAGAAAAAGTCATAACTTTTAGATGACCTATACTTTCCCCAAAGCCCATCAKTATGTGCTTGATGCAACCTCTGCTGCCTGATCATCCTGTGTAGGAACGATCACTGAGGATCCGCTCCAGCACGATGTTTCAGCAGAGACCTTCTCAAGTGGGCTGCCCGCACTTGCGACACGGCCCAGGGAAACAGAAACCAGCGCAGACTGAGCAGGTCATCGACAGCACAGGGTTCATGCTGCTGCTCAGAACATCCCAGTGTGAAGCCACAGCTGTCCAATGTGGCTGCATGGGAAACGAAGGGGACTGAGTCTTTCCTTGCCTCAAACACAGAAAATGAAATGAGTGATTCTCCCTGTCCATCACGACAGCATTTGCGGTTCAGAGGAGAACTCCTGATCCAGTGGCAGTGGGTCAGTCATTGTGCTGGAAGAAAGAGGCCCAAATCCAAAGCCAGATTCAGTCAGCCGCTGGCTAAGGGGATGGGAGCCTGGCTGCGTGCCTCAGCCTCCTCATTTATAAGGTGGGCTTGAGACCCTGGCAGTAGAGAGTGTCCTGCTCTTTATAAACTCCATCTGCAGGGGCTGGGCATGTAGCTCGGTAATAGAGATGCCTGCTATGTGCCAGGCCCTGGGATGGATCCCCACCACTGCCAAAAAATTAAAAAAAAAAAAAAAAAAGTAAACTGCAGACGGGCGAGGCTGGGATTTCACAGTAAGAACTGGCCCCTGCTTGCAAACATCCTCGTGCACCAGGAGGTCCTGGTAATCTGGTGTGTGTGTTTATACCCGATTCAGTTGTCCTGAAAGGTCAAGATCCCTGAAAGCAATTAACAATCTTTATTTTGGGGCTGGGATGTGGCTCAAGCGGTAGCGCGCTCGCCTGGCATGCGTGTGGCCCGGGTTCGATCCCCAGCGCCACATACCAACAAAGATGTTGTGCCCGCCGAGAACTAAAAAATAAATATTAAAAATTCTCTCTCTCTCTCTCTCTCTCTCTCTCTCTCTCTCTCCTCTCTCAATCTCTCTTTTAAAAAAAAAAATCTTTATTTTTATGACATTTTTTTCCTTTACACGAAAACATGGAAAATGGAAAGGTTTTCCAAACCTAAACAAGCACGTTGCTATCCTGGTGTCCTGCCCGGCCAACTTCTGGAATTTCAGCAAAGACAGGAGTCTGTTGGATTGAAAAACCTAGATTCTTCCATAACCAAACCCTCAGAGGATCAGAAAATGGTTGGAGGAAAACAGATACTTACTGAAAGTTATGATTTGGGCTGTGAGTTGGACCTAAAAGGATAAAGCAAAAAGCCAGGTTATTAATACTTCACCCTCCAGAATACAACTGCTTTCAAGTCATGCCGATCGTAAACTCGGTGGGYGCCCCTGGGCTCATTTGTGGCCAGTAGTCCTCAGGCCTTGGGCTCTGCTCAGCTCATGAGGACACCCTTGTGATGCCAGAAATCATTAAAAACAAGACAAAACAAAAAGGGGTGCTTTCTGTTTAGGTGGCTACTTTGGRGGCTCTTTCCGGAGTTGCTGCTGTCCCCTAAACTTCACACACAAAGCCTGTTCTGGCAGTGGTGTGGAACTAGAAGACAGGCCCGGGGCCTGYGTAGCCCGGGACCTCCCCACAACCAGGACTAAAGGAATACCTTCTTTCTTGCCATTTAATTCCTCCACTCCGGGTGACAAGCACACAAGTCCAGAGCTGCCATCTCCCAGTCCTCCTGCCCCACCTGGGCCAGGTGTGCATGGGCAGGGAGGTGCAGACAGTTTTACAAAATCTTGGCACAGACTCTGACAAGCGAGCTGAGACCTGTCCAACACTCTCCYGGCCATCTGCAGTGTGGCCAGCCTCCCCCTGGACCCCTGACCTGCTGCGGTGTGGCCTTTCCACTAAATGGCCTACACCTTGGGTATCTGGGACTCTTTTCTGGGCTCCATGTATACGGACCACTCCTTCTGTGTCTATTTTCTGTGATTACTAGTCAATGGATCATAGGTTAAGTCAGGTTTGTGCTCAATGGGGAAGGCTTTAGGGAATGGCTTTATTGACTTCCTCTCTTGTTGATTGGTGTATTGCAGTTTCAAATAGCAAACCCATCTCTCGCTCGGTGGCTGTGAGCATTCCTATCTGCGAACCAACATGCCTTTGCTGTCCCGACTCACCGAGCCGAACGTAGAGGACTCCGGTGGCGGTAATGGTCTTCACCCCATTGGTGGCCACGCACTGGTAGTAGCCAGTGTCTGTCGTGTCCAGGTCTTGGATTCGCAGTCGAGAGCCATATTCTGTCTTCCGGATAATGATCCGCCTCGGCTCTTGCACGACGGGGGCATCGTTCTTCAGCCACCGCACGTTGGGAGGWGGGTTTCCYGCCACCTTGCAGTGCAGAATCGCTGTCTGGCCCTGGACAATGGTGATATTGTTGACTGGCTCTAGAAAATTCAGAAAGTAACCTGCCAAGCAGAGGGGTTACGAAAAAGCCACATCAGTGGGAGATGGAAGGAAGCGGCCCTGGGGCCCTACATGGACTACTTGTGAGGGAAGGTTTCCACTTTTTGTTCACATGCACACATACAGTGGATTCCAGTTCTCGTCAGTCATTACATCACATTCCACGGTGTCGCACTGAATGCCGACTTAGGGAATAGAGCTGTTGCTGCCGGGGAAACACAGGGTCAGGTTCCTGGGATTCTCTGGCCACATTCTTGTCAATCAACTGATCCCAAACTCATTTTACACGTGTTTCTGTTTAAAGAKTCCTATTTTAATACAGAGTGTCGATTCACTCATACTGAACTCAAGGACAACATCCTGCAACTTGTGTGCAAATGAGGCTTCTCTAACGTACGTTTTCCCTCTGGGGGGCACATGGAAGCTTGATTGTGCTTTTGCACAGTACAGAGCACTTCAGCACTATGCCTGGGGGCCCTTTTAGCAGCAAAATCACCAACAAAAAGTGCAAAACCACACACACACACACACACACACACACACACACACACAAATGATAGTAAACAGGCCGAGAAAAGGAAACAAGTCCACAGCACGAGAAGCAGAGCACCACAGGTACAGCCTTAGCTGGGAAGGCGCCCTGGGTATCTATGTGAGAGACTCCAAGAACAGGGATACTGAGGTGGGGGTTACAAACACATTTGAGCCACGAGGTGAACTTGCAGATTTATAATCTGCATGGGATGAGGCTCAACTGTGTCTCCCTTTCCAAACCCTGAATCTCACCAGGGCTGCTCAATATCATGTAAATTTCACACCCGATGAAGCAAAAGGCACAATAATATATAAAGAAAATATGTGACAAAAGACAGAACCCCCAAACCAGATCATGGCTGCCCTGTAAACAGAACAGAAATGACAAGGTTGAGGGCACTGGAGGCTTCCGTGATGCCCAGGTCTGGTACAGGCAGGAGCCAGGCCTGGCTCACATACTTCAGGGAAGACAGGGCCTTAAAGTGCCCTGGCTAGGGGGCAGGAGGTGCATTCCCCAGAGGGGAACTGGAAACACTGCCCTCTAAGGTGGAGACCCCAGTAAAACCAGGGCAGGAGCTCTGGGCTGGCAAGACAGGCCAGAGGGGACAGAAGAGGAGGGGCTCAGGTGTGTATGCGTGTACACATGTATGCATGTGTGTCTTGATGCATGTGTGCATGTGTGTGTGTGTACACACCTGTATGGTGTGGTCTGTGACAAGGAGGTACTCAAGACAAACATGCAAACTAAAACTGCCTAACACGTAAGGAACTCTCATGTTAGACAATTGATCACAAGGAAATGAACCTTAGGTCAAACAAAATTAATGCAATACAGCAATCTGAAGATGCCTTTAAAATAAAGGCAGTCATTCCCTGGTATCTGTTCCAGGATTGGTTCCAAGACCAGCTGGGCTACCAAAGTCCATGGATGGTAAAGTCCCTTCAATAAAATRGGGTAGTTTTTGCATCTAACCCATGCACAATCCTCCCATCTTAGGCACAATCCTCCCATATACTTTCGATCATCTCTAGATGACTCATAATACCCAATACAAAGTAAATGCTATGGAAATTGTTATTATATTGTATTGTTAGAGAATAACAACAACAAGAAGAAAAAGTCTGTATGTGCAAAGCAGACACAGTTTTTTAAAAAGTATTTTGATCTGTGGTTGGTTGGATCAACAGATGTGGAATCTGGGGTCACAGAGGCCAGCTGTGTGTCCACGTTCTGAATCTTTTGGTTAATTTTCTGGATGGCCCTAATCCTTTCTGTTTTAATGAAGCTGAAAGATGGCATTTTCTGTTGTTACTGACTTAACTGGCACTTGACACCCCCCCGCCCCCCGTGTGGGGAAGCATGGCTGCCGGCCCCAGGTGTTGGGTGGAAGGAGGTGGCTGAGGAGGGAGCCCAGCTGTAGATTTCAAGATGAGGGTGGTCTTTAGTCACAGGGGCAGTGCCTGTCTGCAGGGGAGTCACTAATTAGCACCAATTACTATTTGCAATTATTCTTAACAACATCATTAGGTTCCACCCTTGACTCTCTGAGCCAGCCTTTCTTAATACACTTGATTAGGTCGTAGAAGATGATTTTTATGAATGGCACAGAGCTGGAAGTTGATCCTAATGCTGTGGACAATGCCAAGAAATGGTCGCCTTAATTTTCACCATAAAATTCTAGATCTATCATCTTCAGTAGCTCACCCACACAACAGCAGCACAGGGAACCCTGCGTTCCCAAATCTCCTGTTTACTGGACACCCCATCTTTGTACCTTTGTCAAACACAAGATGGAATCTGATCTGAACACATGAGCAGATACTCTGGTAGAATCTGGGCTGCCCATCTCAACACATGGTTTCACCGCTTTCTGGACAGAAAAGGTTCAGAGTCGGACTTGAAAAGAATATTCCCGAATGGCTAGCAGTTACACGTGGGGGTGGAGGTACCAATGCAGTGCATACAGAAGGTCTGCCCAGCGAGGCATGGACARGGCAGAATGGACGGCACCCGAGTGCCAACCTAGACCTGGAATCGGCTACCTGCAAGGTCCACTGGAAAGTCAACAGCACCAAAACCAGGGGTCAGGAATTAGGTAACAATAAATGTAGGTCAGTGAGTAAAACTGAGCCTCTAGGAAGAAATGAGGAAGGTAAATAATGGAGAATGATTTACCCCCTGGTACCATGCTCCTGAAGGAAGAGTCTTGCTCTCCCTGAACCACACCAAGACGGTTACTTGTTGCTCAGTGGGCCAGGAATGGTTTTTCCCTGGTGACCTTTGCCATTTCTCAAGGATCAGGTCTCTCCCCAAATGTCCCCTCCGCAGACAGTGTTCCCCGGCTGTCCCATCTAAATCCAGCTCTGTTCATTTCCCGCCACCATCCTATTAGCCTGCTGCTGCAGCCGAATCCCATCTGCTGGGTGATGATGAATTAAATGTGTTTTGACACCAAGAACAGCCAGCATTACGGGGTGGGAGGCAATTTTCTCCATTGCACAGCCATTTTTCTCTTCTAAATTCCATTTAGGATCACTTGAGTAAGTTCCATTTTATAAACAGGACTTTTGTGGAGCAAGACCTGCATCCACAGATGATTTGTATAAAATGACCCTCTGGACAATACTGGGACTGTTCGTACCATCTAGGTCTCTATTCCATACCTTCTTATCTATTCRGAAAAACTTCACCTTAACTTTCTTCATTCAGATCTTCACATTCATTTTYAGGTACATTCTTAGCTATTTTACATTTTGCCTCACTATTAGGAATTGGTTTTATTTCTATGATTTCTGTCTGCATGGTTTAAGGCTCATAGGCAAACTGTGAGACAGCAAATATTGTACTAAATCTCCTGCTGTAACAAATGACCACAAATGTCATAGAACAGGAAAAACTTATGATCTTATAATTATGGGGGTCAAATACCCTAAAATCCAGGTGTCGGGGGGCTGGTCTTTTCTGCAGGCTCTCGGTGGGCATCTGGCCTGGCCTCTCTCATGTGCMGGAGACTGTCCTTGTCCCTGGGCTCCAGTTCCCTTCCTTATATCTCTGCTTCCATCAGCACTTCTCCCACCCCGGACCCTGGTCCTCCTGCCTCCCTTTGATAAGAATCCTTAGTTTGCACTGGGTGCACCTGGGTAGTCCCACACAGTCTTGTCATCTCACCCTCCTGAATCCCACCTACCTAGTCCCTGTGCTGCGTGACGTACTCATGGGCTCCAGGAAGGCGGAAATGGAGAACCTCCCAGGGGGACTTTAGGCTGCCCGCCCCAGACATTTTATCTTCTTTTTCCCCAGGCTATCTTCCTAGTTATAATAGCTTCCAGGCTGACTGTCTTAGATTGCTCTACAAAGGGATCACCTGTTTCTAATACCAACATAGCCTTTGGGCTGTCAAAATTCTTACCCTGCCGTATCTCCTTTGGCCTGTTTTATTCAATGTTCTTTGCCATTTGAAAGTTTTACAGGCCGAAAGCTGCGACTGTAAAGAAATTCATGAGAGATACACAACACAAACAATATCAAAATTTCTTGGCTATGTTCTACCATATTTGACTTAGAACACTTAAAATTCTAGAGTGCAACCAAAGCCTTATTTCTCCCTCTCTCCAGAGAACTAGGATGCATCATCCCAACAGATATTTGAATTATTTTGTAGTTTGAGAAATTTTCCCCCAAAGATCCACCTTTCCTRCTTGCCTTTTGTCCTTCAAAATCCTCTATACTGAACTAGCTCACATATTTCAGTTAAGGTATAACAGTCCACCATATAACCACAATTTCATTACCCATTTCCCAATCCAGGGATAATAAGTCATTCCCCTGTTTTTGCTAGAACGGTGTTGATGCACCACCTGTAGGCACATGTGCAAGGGAACCTCAAAGGTGATGTGGAAGTGGGAAGCTATGGGGTCTTGAAATTTTTAATTTATCTGAGTCTCAAAAGAGTTTAAAACAATTTTCACTCCACCAACAACATGTAATATCACAGTGTTTCCCCATAACTTTGCTRATGCTTGGTGTTGGGGGTTTTACAATGTCTGCCAATTTGAGGAGTATGAAATAGGAACGCACTGCTGTTTCAGTGAGCACCTTAAGAAATCCTCGTGAGCTTATTTTGGAGAGTTTACTAATCATTGAGACTTTCTTTCTGTAACCATCTGCTGATGTCTCCACGCTGCTGCTCTTTTTCTAACTTCTAGCTTTGTCTTTTTCCTTTTCTAGTGTATGCATTAAAATTGATTTTTTTTTTTTGGAAGAACTGGGGATTTAACTCAGGGTCAGTCTATCACTGAACTACATCCCCAGCCCTTCATTTTATTTCACCTTTTTCTTTTGAGATGGGGTCTCACTGAATTGCAGAGGCTGGCCCCCAGCTTGTGCTCCTCCAGCCTCAGGCCCCCACGTGGCTGGGATTAGAGGCGTGCATCACCAGGCCCAGCCCAATAAATAATTAAACCTTCA